CTCCACTTGATTGATAATTGACTTGGCTGACAAGCACTTATGTTCTGGGTGGCAGGAAGCCAGAGGGGTCAGAGGAAGATGCAGTATAAAAAATTAATTTTCAAAATGAGTTCTTGAGTATAAACAGGAGGAAATCTCCAGATATTCATAATTTACACTAACCTGGAGCTTTAGAAAACATAAAACAATATGGTTTTGAAGTGGTAGCAGTAAAAAAATAATTTATTAGATCCACATTTATAGTTACACTTGCAGAATACATACTGTACCATATACTGTGGGTGTGCTAACCAGTTTTCATAAATTAATTCTATCAGTCTTCATGATGTCCCATGAGGGACTAACCATTATGAACTCTATGAAACGAGAAGGGGGGCAACCTCACTCTAGGAGGCAAGTAGCTGATAGCCCAGGGTATGAACATCACACAAGTACATTATTCCAATATTCATTAAAGTGAGGCCTTCCATCTAAGATAAACGGGGCTAATGAGTACATCACACATGCACAGATTAAGGTGTTGGAAACTCCATAAATATGCAATAAAATTAATTTTTTTGACCAAAAAGAAACCGGTGGTTAATATATGACCCATTCACCAGGGACAAAGGGGGATCTGGGTTCAAGGCAGGTACTCACAGGTTTGGCGCTACCTGGCTGCCTCTGTGACAACTCAGACCCCTGGGTGTCACAAAGATGGACAATTTGTGATTTGCAGCTTCTAATCTAGCTGACAGAGTCAATATTCAGCACTGTTTGAAGTTACCAAAGCCTTTTTACAGCATCATGGTTTTTCCCTGGTGGTTGGTCACCCACAACAAGAGTCACTGTTTGCCACATGGCATATCTAATTAGCTGTCATTGATGTCAAAAAAAACAATATGGAACTGCTTAGAGGTGCTTTTCAATGTGAGCTCTGCTAATCACCTCAATTCACTGACAGTCCATGCCCAAATTACTTTAAATACAGACCTTCCCTGACATGTTATATGTTTATAATTTTAAAGATGGAAAGGGGAAAAATGAATTGGTCTATTTATAAGAACATGTTTAATGATAAACAATAGCTCTCACATACATATATCAATATTTAGCTTCAAGGTTCTACTTTGTTTACATCGATCCCCTCTATGTCACATATAGTACCTAAACTTTCCAAGTCAAGGAATGTTATCTCTTCTACAGACACAAAATGATGTCTTACGAACATCTGCGTCTATGTGTAGACTTTGAGCTATAGGGTGAGAAATACGCTGGTCACAAACTTGGCAGATAGGAACCGCTATTGTGGAATTCCAAGCAGTAACTAACAATTGCTAATACTGCTGGCAAGGAGGTTGGCCCCCGCTTACTCTACTATAGCACTTAGCTTTCTTTGTTTTCTAGTTCAGCTTCAAAATGACATACAACTGAAACCTTGAGTCTGGCAACACAGTCTATCCTACGTCTACTTACGTTTTTCCTATCTAAGAAAGCAGTTGTGAAATCAATTTCTAATGCAAGCAAAGTAGCTTAAGGCTCAGGTCAGACACCCTCTAAGAGAAACTAAAAGAAAACAACAACAAACCCTTTGCCTTTGACAATGTTCCTGGGTGTCTGAATTGAGTGGGGATGCATTTTGTGGATCAGCTGGATCTTAAATATCTGTACAGCTCACATCAACTTAGAGCCCTGTGCTGGCTTGTTTTTATGTCAACTTAATACAAGCTAAGGTCATCCAAGAAAAAGGAATCTTCATCAAGAAAATCCCCTAAGCATATATATTGGGCCTATGGGCAAGCATCTGGTGTATTTGATTGATCATTGATGTGGGAGGGCCCAGCTCACTGTGAGCAGTGCCACCAACTGAGCGGATGGTCCTGGGTACCATAAGAAAGCAGGCTGATCAAGTTACAGGAAGCAAGCCAGTAAGCAGCACTCCTCCATGGCCTCTGCCTCTAGATTCCGGCTCTCTCTGAGTTCCTGCCCTAATGTCCCTAAACAATGGACTAGAAGTTTTAAGATGAAATAAATCCTTTTCTCCCCAAGCTGCTTTTGTTCATGGTGCTCATCACAGTAACAGAAACTCTAAGACAGGCAGCCTTCTCACACCTAGCCCTGTATGTGGACCTTAATCAATGGTTTCTGACATTCAACCAGGATGAGACATTGAAGCTCAGCAGATCCTTTGCTGGGAAGAAAGACATTCTTCTCCTCATTTCTCAGCATGCTGGAGAGAGAAATATTGCTAGGATACTGCTATCACCCCTGAATACAGTTTAATTGGCTACAGTTTCAGTCTCACTATTTTCATATGAAACAAATTATTAATGCACATATAGAAATAAACCACAACAGAAATGAATAAGAGTCTATGACCACACCGCCCTGCATGCACATGATCTTGTCAAAAGTGAGTACGGCAGGGATCTGAAGATGTCTGAACAAACGTATAATATAGAGAGAAAAATAAAAAATGAACATGTTTCCACCAAGTCATTGCTGCAGGGTAGTTTTTTTTTAAATTTCTATGAGAAATGTAAAATTCTCAGATACAGTTGTGAAACGTTCTTAACATTCTCCTAAAAATATGTTAGTCTTAGGCAGTAAGAAAAACCAATATAATGTCTCATAAATGTACTCTTGATTTGTATGTGGCTGTATTTTGAATACCTGGTTTTACCCTAGACATGGGAATATATGCTGAGTCACATCACATGACATGGTTTATGAGTGCTTTTAAGGATAATGGCACTGTTTATTTTGGAATCAGTCACTCTTCCTGCAGTGGACAAGACTTCTAGACTCAACAAGGAAGCCAGTGAGTGACACATCTGAGAAAGACACAGAGAGATAAAAAGGCCTCCTGTTAGAAAGCAGCAAATTCAACATGGGTAAATACGTAAGACGTGACAAGAACCTTAAAATGTACTGTAGAATGGTTCCACTTAGAAATAAAAAATCAGGAATAAGCATGTAATCAGCAACTTGGATTACATGTCTATACATAAGAGATATTATATTTAAAAATTAAATAAAATATTTTTTCTGGATTTAATGAAATATTACCTTGTGTGTGCACATAATATTTTTAAGAAATTGTGGCTAAAACATTGTAGCTAGATCCTCAGCCAAAAGGCATAAGTAGAACTCAGGCTGAACTGTGATTAGAATTTTCTCTTCCCACTCAGGCTGTTTCCTTCAAAAGAACCATACTGAGGAAGTGAACAGGAAGTGGCATTGGTATCTATACAGCTCACTGTGGGCTATGCGAGGGCACTGAATGGCCTAATTCTACAGGGAGTCATCAACACCCTCCTAATCACCAATTATGTACCAGATGGTTAAATTCAGTTCACGCTTGACCATGACAAGGTCAGCCCTAAGAACTGTCATCTAATCTCCTGGAGCCCATAACAAAACTTTGCTTAAAAACACAGGCAGATCAGGGGTTTTGTTTTTGTTTTTTTCCCCTTTTAAATTAGATTAAACTCTGTTCTAATTTAAATCAGAATTACCAGTTCTCCTCCCTTCCCAGCATAGCATACAATTTAATTCTTCCTTTTCTAAAATTGCACATGCCAGGGTGATAGTTCTAGTTGGAGCTATTACACACCAGTCATCTTGTTATATCTTGTTATGCCCCAGCAACTTGAAAAAAGGGGAAGCCCAGGCAGACCAATCTGTTACATTGTTGAAAAGGAGGCAGGTCATCAGGAATTGGAAATAAAGAGTGTGAACAGGGAGAGAGTAAGAGTATGACAAATGGCAAAAAAATGGCCAAAGCAGGTTTACATTCACTCTAGGAGAAGCCCCCCTGTGCCAGGAAGGATCTTGTCTTAATACCATACTGTCTATAAAGCTTAGGAGACATGGCTCATTCAGACTTTGCTAAGCTATGTGAATGGCATGCTCTAGCAATCATTTCTTGGTTCAAATCCTCAAATGTGAAGTGAAAAGTGACAAGAGATTCAACTTTCTAGGATAAAGGAACAACATATGGGCAACAGCTTCACAGTTTGAAAGCCACAGTGCACAAGGTAGTTAGAATTATTGTTACCATTGTAATCTACTTTGGTAATAAAGAGTTTTAACAAACAAGGGCCAGAGTAATGGTATACAATAGAAACTGGTTCCTTGTAATCAACTAGAGCATTCGGTTACCTTCCTTACCAAGGAGGTTTCAAAGATGACAAAGGTGCCTCCTGAACAGACTGGACGGCAATGGTTTGGAAGGTGCTGCTCACGAAGAGTGGAAGCACTGAAAACTGTCGGAGGAGAATGCCGAGGAGAGCAGGCAGAGAGAGCACCAGCCACTCTAAGGCTGTGATACAATGCAACTTGCAAAATCCGCTTGCTTTGTTCCATTTCAGATAGTGCTCTGACTAGGCAGATTGAAGATGGAGAATATTACAGGCAATCATACCAATAGAGGCCAGCATGGCTGTTCTTGGATGCTTTCATCACCTCCAGGATGGTAACAATTCCTGTAGTACAGAGCTCAAAATGAGGCATGTGTGGCACATAAGTCTAGCTCAGATAGATCTGTAGGCTTCAGTAGAGTCACTTCCATTGGCTTGCAAATCAGCAGTGACAAATAAAAGCCCTTTGTCTTTCCTATACCACTGAAATGCCAAGCGTTGTTTGGTAGTTGGCAGCAGACGATGGATAGAACAATTTTTACAACAAACATTTTGAAGAATGAAGATGCCTAAGCAACATATTGTAGACTGTACAACAACATTAGTAAAATGACTTCACTGGAAACTATACACTCCAATAAAACAGCCTGGCCATCAATGAACCATTAATAAAAGAGGTTCAGATCTATTTATCATATATGGCATCTATGAAAAAAGAAATGTAAGAGACATTTAGCATAATTATTACTGTTGGAAGGCTTAAGTGTGCCCTTCCAAAGGGAAAGATGAGTATTTTCTAAGAACTCAGACTGTAGTAACAAACTGTTTCAAGATGTTTTTCAACAAAATCTAAATAAATCCACTCTGCCAAGTATAAGTCTCAAACAGGCAGTTGTGAGCAAGATGCATTTTAATCAAATTCAGATGAAATTACCTTTTTAAGTTCTCAAAGAGGTATTGTCTAGAATATATCAGTGAGTTCCACAATGCAAGTGTTTATGCTTCTATTCCAACAATTCAAAATGCCAGAGAACCAAGTACATAAACCCTTTTTCTTGACCTTGAAAGTGCCTACAACTGAGCTGTTACATTGGCTGCATACATTTTATAGACTTATACCTGTTCTAATGCAGGAGGGGGTGTCAGAGGGTGGGAACTATTGAAAAAAGAAGCCATAGTGGACAATGGAGCAAGTCTACAGGCTCCTGGAATATTACAATAATGTTGATTCCTACTGTATAGAGCATATCAATCAAACTCTCACTCCCATGAACCATATTTTATGTCAAGGTACAAAACATAACTAAGTGAGAGATGTGACAAGCACAGGTACAAGAAGACTCTGGAGATGAGTCCATTATGTGGTGAGATCTGAACAGAACAACGTTACATTTTGACCTCTTTGAACCATACAGCAACTCAGAATGTGGGGACAAATACCATGATTTTACATAATGCTTATATTTATTTTATGCTCCACATAACAAAAAACCCTAAAGGTCATTATTTGTAGCATGGTAGAATAATGGAAGTCTGTCTATTTGAGGTGGACAGTCTCTGTTAAAATGACAGATCGTTTTTGTATTGCTGCTTATTCCTGACCATCCCATCCCTGTGCTGGAACCTTTAATTTTACTCTCAGTTCTACATGACTGTTAATTCTGTTTTTTCTTTTTTTCCCCAAGATATATGTCAAAAGAGTGGTGGGACTATTTAAGAAAAAGTAATGTAAATTATATTATCTGAAAAATGAGAATTAGGAGAAATGGTATTGATGAGCTATTAGATGGTTATAATGGTACATTTCAGGTTTTTTTTCCCCCCAAGATAGATGGTGACCTAGCTAAAGTCAGGAGCAATCAGTGGTAGCAATTTTCCCAATGTTCTCTATATAGTTAAAAGCCTTTGGGTGTAAGGCAATGAGGTATGAGTCTATCAGGGGAGGGGTGTTTTGGAAGCGACAAAAGCACACTCCATCCCCAAATAAGAGAAATCAATTGCCTGGAAAACAAAAAGCCTGCCATTGGTCCACAGAAAACAAGGTTGCTAGGTCACAACACATTCTGCAGTTCTGTGTTTTCCTGTTCACTTCCCCAGAGTCTACACAGAGCAAAACAGATGGAAATGTAGAAACGCTTCAATAGCCTGTCACTCTCTGCTGGCAAGTCTGAAGAAAAGCAGTTGGTAAGTTTCCGGGTGGGTTAGGTTTTGACTCATCCCTATCATCAGTTAGTAGCAGAAATAAAGGGCCCACATTTATATTTCACATTAGCCAAAAATGTGACCAGAACAGAAGGGCCCTTCAAGGCCAAAGCTAAAATGAGTGGTTTAATGAAATGAGGGACTCACTCAACTGCCCAGTGTGCTGAGCCTGGGCCCAGGTAAGAGAGGAAGGTGAGCAAATGGAGAAAGGAGGTTCCTCCCCCCCGACTAGCTTCTGAGACTTTGGGATATAGTGGACATACATCCAAGAGAAAGGAGAATGGCAAAGTAACTGGACAGTATAAATTAACTCCAAACATGTTTTCCGATTGTTCATAAGATTGCCACACAGAAGTAATGGAAGAACATAGAAAGCATGGATAGCTGTAAATTTACCTCAGGCCAGTAAATACCTGTCTTAGAGGACCTGAGTGACGCTAGTCAAGGGGCAGGAAGAATGGAAGACACAGCAGAGTACTGAATGTCATTTGGATGACATTGGGCAACCATGTATTTGACAAGACAGCAGAAATAATCCACAAAAACGTTACAACAAGACAAAGAGCCCTTCTAGGATAAAAACACAAAAGTTCAGAGAAAGAAAGAGAATATGGTAAAGGTTATGTGTGGGGGATGGGCTGGCGAAGTTAAAGGTAGCAGCGATGCACTCTGCCTCACAGCTGTGCTACTCATGGCCAGCATGGAGGGTGTCAGTGAAGGTCACTGCCAGACTGGGCACCTTTCCAGCCAGCACAAATTAGTCCACTGGATGCCAGCAGGCACCATCAGATCCCAAGCCACCACATCACAAACAGACACTAAGCCAAGCAGTCAGAATGCTTTAATCACTTCATCAATAATTGGGTAGATCCAAATTTACAGTCTTAGTTTCAAGACAATAAAGCAGGTGGCAACAAGGATAATTTTCCAGTTCTCTGCTATAAGCTATTTTCATTTTGCTTTATTCAAAATATTTATACTTCCAATTTTAGAGTCCTGCTTCATTCCCATTCAATTAACTACACTGAGATATTCATATTTCCATGTCTATTTTCATAATGTTCATTTTATCAAAGGTCTAAAAGAAAATGCCCTGTATCTTTAAAAGTTTAGAGTCCTCTTAAGTATGAGATCAGCCAAAGAGCCTCATCATGAGAATTGAAAGTGAGTTTCCAGACATCAAGTTCCTCATTCTGCCCATCCTGAAGACACAACGCAGTAAGCATCTGGGTGCTTGAGGTACATTGACCCTGTTCAAGTAGACCACTTCCTGTGTTCAAAGTAAGCCTATGTTTCCTGACAAAGACCAGCTCTATTGTTGACATTTTGTCCTTCTCAGGAACAATGACACATCTGAATTCACTCAGAGCTTGACACCTGATCACGTCAAATCGCCCGTGTGGAGGAAGTTTGTTTAGAGAGTGAGTGTGGGGGTAAAACACACGGTCCTCCCTCAAGAGTGCCATGTGGGTGTTCAGAAGGATGAATGATGGGCAGGGGGTGCAACTGGCTTCACTCTCCAATCTGACTGTGGTATAGAGCAGTAACCGAACTTCAGCCAGAGAAGGAACACTGGTCTCCATATTTCCATGAAGAAAGTAAACCATATCAACCAAGGTTGTCTGGAAATTGGAAGACAACTGAACTCCATTTGCCAAAGCTAGAGTGGGTAGTTTTGCTTCCAAATCAAGAGAAAGCTGAACCAGATCCCGCTGGAGCAAAGGGTGACTTGTGTGGGCAGCAGCTTCAGACCCAGCCATCAGCACCCCCAGGAGGTCCTGGCAGAGCTGTTGAGAGAGGCTCTTGTTGTAAGTTAGCACAGTAAGCAAGAGGTCCTGTGTGGAGCCCAGGAGTCTAATGCTCTGCCCACCAAAGCCGACCTGAATCTCCTGCAGTGCAGAGAGAGGGAGAACATGAAAGATGCTCATGGAGGCTGAGCAATTATCTAATAGGACCAGAGCATACAGAGTTGAAGGCAGCAGGAGCAAGCATGCAGCTTGGGGGTCAGGCTGGGTGCAGTTAGCAACTGCGAGCCAGTAAATGCCTTTGACTGCCTTCACTATGCCCAAAGGCTCTGGCAGAGAACAGGTCATGTGCTCAAGGAGGTCTGTGAGAGGGTACTCTTGAAGCCTCAGCATTTGCTCTGGGAATGATACAAGGGTCTGCTTAAACACTGTGATCTTCCCAGCATCTTCATAATCAAGACAGAAAACTGAATTTGGCCAGGAATCTGGTGAGCCTGTAGATGTGAAGGCCAAGTCTGTGTAAGGTGCTGTGCCCTTGGCTGACCTTGGGCTCCCTCCATCTTCACTGCTGAGGCTGCCAATCTGAGTTTCAGAAAGAGGAAGAGGCTCTGATGGCACCATGAGTGACCTCACAGGCAGGTGTAGGGATAAGCGCTCCAATAAAGGCAGGCCTCTGATGAAGGTTGTCACTTGGGAGGCCAGCCCACCTGAGTCACACATACTCCCCACATACTTGACTTGGTTCATTACTTTCGTGCCAGTCTGTATCAGGTGACCACTGGTGTCTTTATACAGGTCTGAGAACTTGTGGTAAAAATACCCCAGCCCCTTCTTTGCTTCTGTCCTGATATTGACTAGTGAGGCTGGAAAGCGAGTGTTTTCAGCATCTACCTCTTTCTCATTTTGTTGCTCACAACACAATGGGGAGGCTGATGTGCTCTGAGGAGAGCTGCCAGTGGGATGCTCCTTTTGAGAAATGCTTTCAGAGAGAACAAAGCACTGCACCCTGCTCTGCATCGCTTGCTGGCTTCCTCTGTCTACTGGCACTTGCTGGGACATGTGTTGCAGCACTGTCCAGCTGGACTCCATTCCCCAGCTTTGTTTCTCTCCATGAGTCATCAGCTCACTGCCATTTTCTGATTCCCTCTGAGAATTCTGTGCATCTCTAGTGTTGCTTCCATTACGGAGGGTGATTTCAGGCGGATGAACACATTTTAGTTCAAGGTGGCCAGAGCTCCTAAGGTAACAGAGTCTGTCACTAGTGTTCTTCAGCACCTCAAGCCCTGAGGACAGAACCATCCTCTCTTGGGAGGTCATGGAGAAAGCTGTGTGGAGTGAGGTGTTCTGTGACATAGGATGGCTCCAGTGGACGCTCGGATCCACTTCACTCTCTTCTTCTCTAAGGATGCTGGAAGAGTCAGTGTCATCTTTGGGCAGAAGTGGCATAACACACCGTGCAGACCAAGGCGGCCTTTTCTGTTTAGGATGTCAAAAGAGGTTGAAATGGGGGTGTGCTTTGACTCTCTACCATTCTTTTGCCCATGGAGGGTCACACATCCATTGGTTTCATTGGAGTGGATTAGTTGAGAGGTAAGATAGAAAGCCTAAGTCATTTGTGTTGATTGATATATGATTTAAGAATAGATGATTGATTCATATATAGAACATCAATTTCCATCTTGCACAGTCCAACAAATCACTTGGTATTTTGATAGAAACACACTGTGTAGGATTATTCCACAGTATCTATTTCTTGGTCTATGATTGCATTTTCCCTGAAGTACATCCCCCAAACTTTTGATTTATTGTTTAAAAGGTCACAGTTAGCTATACTACCATATGTGCAAACATGCCCATCTCTTTTTTGGTTCATTTTATGTGAGTCTTTAATCATCTTCTCCCTAAGTAGAATACCATTGCTGATACCTACAAACCTTTATTAAGGAAGGCTTGCTGCATGCCTGTAATTTGCCTAGTGCCATGGAAACAAAGAAATAAAAGGCAGCTTCTTACTCGGCCAGAGGTACCCACCAGAAGGATGTCCAGAGGAGGCTAATGTCATTACTGGCTGACTAGCAGGGGGACTGGGTGTGGTTCAAGTGAGTCAAGAAACCATGAACGCCCACCCTTTTGCTCCCTGCTCAGTAATGGACAATAGATATGGTGGGCAGATTTCTATCACCTAGCAATGAAAAAAAAAAGCACTTGGGCTATATGAGAATGACATTCTCTTGGTGGAAGAAAACATGAGTGAATTCTTAACAACTGTATGCTCTAATAGCATCTGTCCACCAGAGAGTCAAGATAAGCTGATTGATCAAAGGTTTCCTTTGTACCACTGCCAACTATCTCTCTATAAAATGAACAGGTTTTTTGAAAACATTGAGAAGTTCTCAGTTTCATTTCCAACCCCCCTCCATATCTGATCCTGATTATATAATTCTGCCTTTTAAATGCAGACCAAGGGAAAGGATACTGTTGCTAATGAGAAACCGGGCACAGATACAGGCCATTCAAATAAAGCCAAAGCAGTTTCAGGCCTGCAGGATTCCCTTTAATTTTATGTCTATATAATAGTTTGCCTTCCCTATTAACCATTAATCTCACTGGGACTTCAAAATTCTAATTATGCAACTAAACATTACGAAAATTTAATCACACAAGCATGCCATAATTTAAGCAACCCTATCAATCTGAAAAATCGCTACCTACCTCATATTTTAGCTTACGTTGAGTGGTGCCATTGTGAAGTTCCTCATTACTCTGAAAAGAAGAGAAAAGCCTTCTGCATTAAATTATAGCATGCTCATAGAGGGGAGAAAAAATTGAGTCTATTACAAGTATTTATGAGAAAAAAATTCTAAAGAAACATACCTGTCATTCAAATGACAACCTTTCCACAGGATTTACATTTCCAAAGTAAACAAATCTCTTACTCATTTATTTGTAGGACAGAGATCTGAACCACCAACATCTAATGTTAAGTTTAAACAGCAAAATTGCAATCAAGATTTCCTTAGCCTACAAGTTATGGAATTCAGTAAAATGGTGCCTCAAAAACAGAAACAGAAACAAAAAACTAACAAAACTGCACATACAGGTCCTATATGACTCAAGTGTACTGCTTCTGAGAGTATATCCAAAGTACTCAGAGTCTTCATGGACCAGAGAAACCTACAGGGCTATGTTTATGCAGTACTATTCATAATAGGTAAGTTAGGAAATGGGAGAGGTGCCCATCAATGTGTGAATAGATAAAGAAAATGTGATATGTGTGTGTGTGTGTGTGTGTGTGTGTGTGTGTGGTGTGTTTATATATGTATGTATATGTGTGTGTATATATATATATATATATATATATATATATATATATATATATATATATACACATATATGCATATGCACAACGGAGTTTCATTCAGCCATAAAGAAAAGCCAAACTGTGTCAATTACAAGCAAATGGATGGAATGGATCATCACATTATACAAAACAATCAAGATTCAAATAGAGGTATCAAGTCTTTATTCTCAAATGAGCAATTTAGAAAAAAAATCAAAACAAAACAAAAACTAAGCCCTATCAGGGCATAAAAACAGAAGAAATGCAAAATTAAAGATGTGGATAGAGATCAAGGGGAGGGGGATGCAAGAGGGTGATGGTATAATATGTAAAATTATCTTGTATGTATGGACAAAAGTATCACAAAAAACCATTACTTGTAAAATTTATATATGCTAATACAAAAGACATGAACTGTCATTTGATAAAAATAAACTTACAAAAGTATACATCTCAAGTAGAAAAGTATATGTCTACTTGGAATAACTTAAAAAGTAAATTATGTATTATAGAAATTTGTTTTATTTGGGAAGAAAACAGAAAATGTTACATGTAAAATTTTTAGAAATTGGCCAGGCGGTGGTGGCACACACCTGTAATCCCAGCACTCAGGAAGCAGAGGCAGGTGGATCTCTGTGAGTTCAAGGCCAGCCTGGTCTACAGAGGTAGTCCAGGACAGGCTCCAAAGCTACAAAGAAATCCTGTCTTGAAAAACCAAAAAAAAAGAGAAAAATTTTTTAGAAATCAAAGCAAATAAAGAACATGAAGAATCAATGTTTCCTCAGAATTACAAAACTGCAAAATAAGCTACTCTTCAATGAATTCTATCTGAAAACTATTCAGGTCCATCCAATTGACAATGAGTGCTCTTTCTGGAACATTCCACATCTGAATTTGCATTAAACAGCAGTAATGACTGTAAAACCTGTCTCCTTTAGCTCACCTTCATCACATCAGCAGGTGCATGGCTGGCATCACCAATTGCCCTGTGCAAATCATGAAGGCGTCTTTGGACTTCTTCCTCAATGTAAGCACTGATCCTGAAAATGATAGAAATGTGACAGCTTTGAATACACTGCTACACATGGTCACTATGTATACCTTCAAGATGCTCCATACAATAGGGGTCATTTCATTCCTAAGGCCGTGTATGTACATATACGATGGAACTAGAGACCATCATGTTAAGTCAAATAGTTCAGACTCTGAAAGAGAGGTATCATGTTTTTTCTCTCATGTGTCCTATTTAGAAAAACAAAAACAAAAAGCAAAGCCTTACCAGGACTTGAAAATCCTGATGTTTGTTTTATTTATTCCATATAAATAAAAATCTGGGATTCCAAACTATTTTTTTTCTTTCTAAGAAGTCTGGTACTATGCATTCACTCTCTGGTCTTTCCCTAAGTGAGACAGGATTGCATAAATAAATAAGAAAAAACTGCAATCAAATGGAGAGTAGGCTGTTCAACAGCACACTGCAAGGTAAAGGCAAATCATAGCCATGGAAGTCAGAGGCTCTGTGCTCACAGATTCCACTGTATGACAGACCACTGAGTTTCCTCATTTGGAAAAAGAAGACATGAATGATAGTTATTTCTTATGTATAAGGCCATTTATGATGAGTACTAAAAATTGAAAAGAAATGGAAGACATACTCTATGATTAGTAACTGTTCATCTAGAACAGTGTCTTGTATTCTCCCTGGCTATCTCTTAACTCCAACTAGGTTATCTACACGTGGCCATTGAGACCACATCTGAAAGGTTTCTGCCATGTGGATTGCTTGGCACAGGGCCAAAACAGAAAGGGAGTCAGAAACTATTGACTTGTAAAGTAGGTGTCAACTAATATCTGGCGCCTCATAGGAAGTATCTGAATCTGTATAAAATCTCATCATCAGCCTTGACCATCAAAGTGGTATTCAGTGAAGTCTCTGGTCGGCCAGAGTTATTCCAGCAGAGGAAACAGAGTCAAGAGGAGTAACAGGATACAAGAGATCTGATAAGGAAAGTGGGAAAACAGGAAGCAGCTCTTCAGGCAAAGTGGAGGGAGGTAACTTCAGAAGAAGGAGGTAGGTAGGTAAAATAACAAGGATGTCTGAAAAAGGCCCACCTAATTGTACTATTAATTATTTACCTAAAACAAGCCTATAATAATTTAACTCTCTGTATAAATACATATATAGTTTTAACCAGCATTGCAATATAACCCTAAGGGTGCAGCAGTAGCACACATGCCTTGGTGGTAACCAGCAGCTCTCGAATTAGACTTAAGACTCATTCAAGAAGAGGGAAATCATGCCTGGTATTGGAAACTCAGCTAACTACCTAGCGACAGTGAAGTCACGATTAGTGGAGGAAAATCTACAACCACTAATTTACTAAACTATCATAATCCCTAACTATATTCTAAATATTTGTCCTTATACCCACAAATACATGTAGTCTTCACCTCCTCAAGGAAACTTCTCTTTGCAGCAGATGGAGAAAGCTATAGAAAACTACAACCAATCAAAATTCAGAGTTGTGGAGCCCAGTCCCAATAGATAGATCTACCAAACACTCCTGCAGCTAAGACTCAGGGAATATTTTGGAAGAAGTGGGTACAAAGATTCTAAGAGCCAGGGAGTCAGGCAGTTTGGTGTGAGAGTGTGTCTCCTGGTAACATCAAAACCTACACCCATAAAAATCTCACCAACATGAGCTGAACAAGGATGGTACCAATAGACATGCCCAAGTGGATGGGGAAAAGCCCATGAGGCTCCATCCCTACACAAAGAACTATCAGCAACTGAGGAAAGCTGGGAGAAGGAGAGACAGTCTTCTCCAGAAAGGAGCACACCAATTTGTTGTCCAGTGCCAAATAGTCAGTCCTGAAAACATACATACACACAACATTATACAGACTGAACAGGTTATATTTAGGAATATATATATATGCATATACATGTATGCATACAATAACAATTAGTGAAAAAGAGGCTATGAATTTGAAGCAGAGCAGGGAGGTATATATGGGAGGGCTTGGAGGGAGGAAGTTAAGAGAGACATATTTTAACTGTAAAATAACTTCCAGTAGCTCAGACTGTCCAAAGCAATCATGACTTAAGTATAGGATGGTATCCTCTAATTCCACAGATGGGTCCATCTGTCTTTCTTCCCTCTCTTTCTCCCTCCCTCCCTCCCATCTATTCATTCATTCATTCATTCATGTGTATATGTGTATTTGAGTGTCTATACACGTTTATGTGTGGGTGGATGCACATGTGGTAGAGGACAGGGGACAACCTTGGATGTTGCAATTTCTCAGATGTCATTCATTCATTCTTTTTTGAGAAAGGGTCACTTACTGGACTGGAACTTCACAAGTAGGCTAAGGTAGTTGGTCAGGGATCCACTCATGTCTGTTTCCTGGGCGTTGGGATTACAAATGTTTCATTACGCCTGGCTTTGTTTTTGGTTTTATTTTTAATATGCTTCCCAGGATCTTGGGTCTGGAGTCTATCAGGCAATCATTTTATCAACTGAGCTATCTTCCCAGCACTAGATGGGTTATTTTAAATTAAATTATTTCCATGTTTATGCCTTCATACATTAAATATTTGTAAATATTTGCAAAATCTTATCAGTGTTTTGTACTGTTGACCAACAGAGGATACATTTTTCTAAAATGCTGGGTAAATACAGTAATATTGTATATTACTATGTATCTTTCAGTGTTGAAACTAAATCATATACTTTGAATCAAGGCCATTTACAAATGACCTCCTCAACCTTATGGACATTTTTAAGCTGGTCCCATGGAAAACCCAGACCTATACTAAGAGGGAAGGGAGGCTCATGCCATTCTGAACACATTTCAAACACTGAGCTCCTAAATTCAGACTGCAAGGCTGTCCAGTTAGATAATTCTCCCATGGAAAAATTCAATTAATTCTCCAAACTGGTTCTCCCAACCTGGCCTCTGCAGCACTTTGCTCCGGGTGAGTTGGTTTCTCTGCATCTTTTCATTCTGCCATCTCACACAAACTATTTGAAGCCTGATTTCTTGGATTTGGCTGACCAGTTCATAGGTCCTTGATTCTCTTCACATTATCATTCACCCAGCCACAGGCCAGGCAGCAGGTGACAAAGACAGAGGACATCTCAAGCATAGTATTACTATTGCGTTTGATAAATCCCTCCAGAGGTAAACTAGCCAATATGGGTACAATAAGTCATTACATAGAATCAAAGCAAAGCATGGCATCAGGTGAATATTGAGTACCTGGCATCCATCAGTGGAGCCAGATGAGGGTTGTCAGCACTGGGTAGCAAGCTGGAGAGAGAAGTCTTTCCCTCTAAGGTCCCATGATGAGGTCTTTGAACACCATCCACCTCACAGATCTTCTGTTTCAGCTGGTGGTTATCATAATCTGACCTAAAAAGATGTGAACCACATAACTCCATTAATTAATAGTATTACAGAACACATTCTCTATAGGGAACTGTTCTAAAAACCCCGGGGGAGCCAGAAAGAACTCTAGGGCAAGATGTTTTCCCTTCTAGTAGAAAAGGTGTCACATACAGAAAAAGGAACAAGGTGAAAATAAGCCATGAGAAGAGACAAGAGTTTCAGGCATCCAAGGCTTAGACTACCCGGCCACTAAGGACAAAAGCACATCTGCTGTGCTGTAAGCAAGTCCTTCCTCAGAGGCACTGCCCAGGATTTTGAATCCCTTAAACCTTGACTCAACAGGAGTTGGTTGTGGACTGCATATCAAAATTCTGTTAAATACTTCTGATTGACGAGATCTATTGGAAAGCAGTTCTCGGCTGAGTCTTCAAAGGTCATTGGAATTGTGGGCATATGGAGAAAACAGTGGAAGATGCTCCAAGGACAGAAACCAATCATAGCAAAGAAATTGTGCCACAAAATCCAGGAAGGCACTTTGGCCAAGGTAGAGACAATGGGAAGGGGAGCCAAGGGAGAGAGATCTAAGAAATAAAAGTTGAGTTAGATGAGAAATTAAAATGAGCCACGCATTGTGAAACCAAAAAGCATTGTTACAGATGACAACTGGTACATTTTATAAGCTCTGAACTGTATGAAAAGCTGAGCCAGATGAATCTGAATCCTGAACAGTCAGGCTGAAGGGTCAGGCTTGCTGGCAGATTTAGCCTCAGGAACATAGGACTCAGCAGCTGAAGACCACAGCCTACTCAGTGTGTGAAAACAGACAGGTACTGGATCTGGATTTCTACTTCTCTAGGGATCAAATGAGCTCAACTAATCTCTTTCATTGTTTTAGTCTACAAAAATCAGAGATCTTAGTGTCAAATCCTGACACATCTTGATGCTGCCAACCCCCTGGTGCTACCATCAGTAACTTGACTTTTTTTTTTTTTTATCTTGAACATGAAGGCCATGCTCTTAATTCTCAGAGATGTGATTCTGTGGTCAGTAGGGGAAACACTCATGACTTTCATAGGAGGAAGCTTTCAGTTCAACTCAGGTCTTATTTATCTAATGATTAGGAAAAGTTTCCTGAGCATCCATTTGCAGAACATCCAGTATTTTCAGAAGAGGAGAGGGATGTAAGGATCTGGGCATGATGGCCCACATCTGTAAATCTGGGAGGTGGAAGTAGATGGGGGTTCATGGTCATCTTCTGCTGTGTAGAAAGTTTGAGGACAGTAAAGGTCACATGAGACCCTATCTCAAAAACACTACCACCACCAACAAATAAGAAGGGTGTGAGGGACGACATGGATGGCAAAGAATCAAGGCCTGCTTTCAACAGGGTCTTAGCAATGGCAAGCAGGATGTAAGCAGAAGACAGCATGATCTCCTGATGCCTCTTGGGTTTTCTCACAGGTGTTCTTCCAAGCTAAGATGTTAGAAAATCTGGGCAGAGGTGACTTAGCATGGAGGTTTGATTGGGGCCCTAAAGACCCAGTGAGATTTATATAGATATCAAGAGTCAAACAGGACAGTACCTGAAACACATGCTATATGAAGTACTGGCCTGTCTGTATTTCAGCCACGATACCAGGCCACTAACAGCTGGGCAAGAAATGGACCTAAACGAAGCCTTTAATCTGCCACTTTCTGTGCATCACTAGCCCCCATGAGTAATATAACCACTATAGGTTAAATATCCTATCTTCTGCTTGGGGGTGGTGTCCCTTCTTCATAGGAAGACTCAGGGACAAGACACATGCCATTTTAAACACAATTGAGTTACATAGGATTGTTCCTCATGGGGGGCAGCATGACTACAGTCACCATCATCATTTTTGAGGACTCTGATAATAGAACTGGTCAAACATTGAGTATTAGCAGTTTTCATCTTCTCTCTCCTACGGTGACATGAGGGCTTTCTAGTGGTGCTGCCTGACACATGCCACTGGGGCAGCTGGAACGAACTTTCCATTGAAAGGAAGGCAGTGGCATGACTTCACCAGCTCCTAAGGCACCAGGGAACGAATGAGAAACCATGTCCAGTGCAGTGCTGCCCTACCTGGTGCCATGTGGCTTCAATATTTCAGTTGGTCAATTTCACAAGGGGCCAAGACAGGCTGTACAGGCAGTCCTGGCTTAACTGTGAGAAGCCAGAAAGAAAAGAGCAGCAGGAATGTCCGTAGAAAGCTGCTGAAGCATTGCAGGCAAAGCAAAGTGCCCAGAATTCATCGGCCTGAATTAGATAGTAGAGAAGTCTATTTCATCGGCACTCAGGAGGCTAAGTGCCTTCTAGCGAGCTTTCTGGAGGACTGCTGACACCAAGGAATCACTTCCACAGAAATTTCAAAACCATGTCTGCTATTACAGAGTATTAATACTGAATGGCTGGTTGACAAAAGTCAGGGACATCAAGCTAAAAGCTCAGGCTGCCTCTTACTGCACACTGCAGGATACAAATTGAGAGCATGCCCTCCGCTACTTTAAATTTCCTGGGGCTAGAGCTTTGTCCAGCAATTTCATTTACATAACATACCTGCAATCATTTTCTTAAACCTCCGACCTACTTCTCTGAAATAATAACATTATGGTTTTGGTTGTTATTTTGTTTCTGTTTTGCCTGAAGGAATTACCAGAGAGTCACTGTAAATGGAATCCATAGGATAAGCAGATCACTTAAAAGGAAGCTGTCTTGACCTTCTCAGGAAAAATGATGGGTAAGAGATACAGTTAACACTTCTGAGAAGGTCTTGCCTTGTCTCAACCACTGTACCCATGCCTCTGCCAAATGCTAAGTTGGGGTCTTAAGGCTAATAGACAGAGTACTGCTGATTATGGGTACAATAAGACAGAGTTCCAGGTCCTCCCACACGGGCTTCAGTTAAGAACTATGAACAGAGGCAGGGCATGGTGGTACATGCCTTTAATCCCAGCACTCCAGAGTCAGAGGCAGGCATCAGATCTTCATGAGTTAGAGGGCATGAGTAGCAAGTTCAGCCAGACAGTGAGAGACAGTCTTTAAACAAACAAACAAAGAAACAAAAACAATAACAACCTATAAACAGGAGTTCCCTGAAAAAGCCACACCTATGTTAAAGATTCTGCAGACTGATTGACTAAATACAGTAATTAGCAATTAGTGATATGAACAGTTGGAATTTTACGGATAGAGAGCTAAACTTATTTTGGGCAATCTTTATTTCTGTTAATAGTCACTTAGCAGTTATATACATCTGACCCAACAACCGTTTGATTCTCAAGATAAATCCCTTGGAATGTGTCCCTAAACTTGACATTCCTAACCTCCACTAATCTTATAGCTAACAATGTCATCGGATAGCATCTAAAACATACAGTTGAGATTTTTTTCCCAGTCTATGGAATCCACAGATGTCACCAATGCATTTGGTAAATGCATGATTTAGGACTTTGATTTGTCCTGGAAAAGTCCATGTGACCACTTCCAGAGTGGACCATGTCACTCAGGACAAGTAATATCTGTGTTTCCTGACTGTAGCCACTCAATATTGGCTCAGTGTAAATGATCTCTTGATCCCTCTGGAACAAGAGCTTTGTTTTCTGTTGATAACTGACCTGAGTATGGAGCTAAAAGAAATGAGACCTAAATGGTCAAGGCCATCCAAGCAGTAAGAGACAAATCAACCACAGGATGTCTCCACCTTGCAAACTGGTTACATTCACACACAGGTGACCTATAACCTCTCTAGGAGTCTTAGCATGACTGCAGGATACCAGAAAAGACACTCCTAGGTTTCAATATTTACATATTTCAGAGTCTACACCTGATAACCATGACAACAGAATAGAAAGATAAATATTCTTTCTTTACCCTGTCAGGAGTGCTCGTTTCCCAGTTTTCTTTCTAAAATGTTGACTTTAAGGGTGGGACATCTACCCCATTTTAGTTCTCTTCAATTTATAGGAACCAGCTCGGGATTCACAATGCATGAACTCTGGGGGGGACAGGACTTCACTGTGGCCAGAGCTGCTCACAGAGAAGATATGAAATCCTGGTGAGGTGAAGGACAGGTGTGGGAGAGGGGAAGAAATGGGCTGGTGAGAAAGCAATGGAAGGGATGAGAAGGGAACAGGGTGGGGGCAGGGATAAGAGGGAGATAGAGGTGGGAATCTAGGTTGAAACTCTCCCAGGACCTGCACTTGTCAAACTATTAGGATACACATTCCACAGGTCAGTTCAGTGAAGGACCAGAACTTTGTTTTTGTCTATGTGCTTTTTTCAACTTTAAGTCAATGATTTTAAAACAAGGATCTTATGTAAAAACAAACAAAAATTCTTAGGGGTGTTTTTCTTAGGTTGAGTTTTTGTTTTTATTTGTTTGTTTTTTAAAGCCTTTTGCCTATGTATTAGAGAGCATAAAGCCTACAAGAATCACTTCTCTAGACAGTGAGCAGCCATAAGAGGCAGAACGTAAGCAATCACGCACGCCTGCCCTATGCTTTGTTCCCTCTGCCTTAGTCTTACCTTGCAGGGTCCTTCTCAAGAACCTCTTGTTTGGCCTCCAGACTGGCCCACAGCCCTGACTGCTCCATGCTGTGGAGAGAGGCAAGTTTCTGCCTCTGCTCCTGGATCTCCAGGTCCAGGGTAGAGCGCCTCTGCAGGGCAGAGTGCCTCTGCTCTAGCTTGGCCACGGCCTGCTCCAATGCTTCTCTCTGCTGCTTCTCCCGGGACTCCAGAATCTCCTTTTCCTTTCTTCTCACCTTCTCTTCCTGTCGGGCGACATTAGCTGTGAATTCGAAGGTGGCCCGGAGCTGCTGCAGCTGGCTAGCATTAGCCTGGTACCGTGTGATCTGCTCTTCTTTTTCTTCCATTTCTTTCTCTACTTGGTAGAGAGTGTTGTCTAGGCCCAGGGCGCCCCTGTCAAGGACGTCAAGAGCTCTCCGCTTTTCTTCCAGCAGAGCTGGCAAACGATTTTGCAGAAGGTCCCGCAGCTGGCGCTCTTTACTCTGTAGCCTGGCCTGTGCAGTCTCTATTTTCTCTAGACCTTCAAGCCGGCAAGGGATGCTACTGTTATCTGTTGCCGACAAGCTAGGTTCCTCCTGGACTTCACATCTTACGTGCTCCAGGGCTTCCTGCTCTTCTTGGACTTCTTTGCTTAGGCAGTCTTTCTGTTGGACCAGGTCCTTCTCCAGGTTTGCTAGCTTGACAAGCTGCCTTTTCTTGAACTCTAAGAAGTACTGCTGAGCCCTTTCCAGTTCATCCCCACAGGTGTGGTCCCCTTGCGCTCCAGCCTCTTTGGCTTGCAAGAGGGCCTCCTGGATGCCTTCGAGTTCCCTCTTTTCCTCCTGGGCCTGCAGGACCCCTCCAGGACACAGCAGTGGACCAGTCTCCTGCCTCTCCCGCAGCTGCTCCTCCAGCTGTGCCACCAGCAGCACCTGCTCCTTCTCTTGCTCCTCCAGCCTCCTTTTCTCCAGCTGCAGCTTGGCACTCTGGGCATCTTGTTCTTTGTGCAGCCGGTCTAGCTCCTGGCATATCTGAACCTTCTCGGCCTGCTCACGGCTGTTGAGCTCCTGGAGCCTGCGAAGCTCCTCTCTGATGCGGGAGAAGCTCTCTTCTTCCTGTCTCCTCTGCTGTTCAAGCCCCTGCTGCTCCCGGAGCCTCTCTTCCTCAAACCTTTCCTTCTCAGCCAGCAGGTCCTTGAGCCTGTTTTCAATGTGGAAGCTGCGGCGTTTGAGGCTTTCCTCCTGCTTGCGGATCTGCCGCTGTACGATCTCTGTTTCCTTGCGCCTGGTCTCTACCTCCTGCTGCATTCGCTCTAGCTCTGCCTTGTCCGACTTCTGCTTTTCCTCCATCTCTTCGATGAGTTTCCTGCAATGCAAATGTTGATTGGTCATTATTTGGTCACTACGTTCAGAATTCAGCTTTAGTCCAACTTTCCCCTAACTGGACTGTTCTGAAAACACTCAGGCAACATAGGGCCAACCTTTCATTAAAACAAATGAAGAGCAAGTGTTTCCCTTTCACACTTTCAGAAGCATGCTATTTCGTTTTCATTTTATTTTATTTACTGTCCAGTATATCGTCTGCCTAATCTCCTGGAGTAGCTTCTGGTATCAGTTCTTTGTGAAGCATAGAATCATTTGTTATTTATGGCATAATTAAAAAATCCCACCGAGCTCAAAGAAAAAAACACCATGTCCAATTTAAATTTAAATGTGGCTAGTTTTATTCAACCCAACGACTAAACTGCAACAGACATTCAGTTACAAGATGACATTAAGTAAATTTTTTCTGCTGTCTTCAATTCACTGGGGTTGAATAACAAAGCCAAAATAATGGACAGTAGATTGTTTCAGTTCAAAACAGAGTCCTATATGCTCTTTAGCATTTAAAACTGGTTCAGAGCAAATTATAATCATCAAAACGGGCTACAGCATTGGAAACAACTGGAGTCTGTCAGGACACTTGAACACACAGGGGACACATGCTGTTTTCTATAGATGCACAGTTGATTCTTATTTGGCACTACAACAGCTTGGGGAGGTGGAGTGGCCTCCAAAGCAAGGGCATGGAATGACAGTGCTCAAAGTTGACCTCCATCCCCTGGCACCCAAACTCCTGATCTACTTGATACTGGACATTAAACTCATTCCCATGAGCTATTGTTTAACCCCAAATTCTAGAAATAGGTAACTATACTTGAGATCCTCTCTGGCCTTAACTTTTTCAATGCCTACCTACCCTTGATCTACTTCCTGACTTGTTAAGTAGAGCAAAGGAAAAGAGAAACTATGATTGAATTAAACAAAGGATATTTTAGAACATATCTCAATTAAGCAGCCATAAATATACATATATATATATATATATATATATATATATATGTATATATATATCCCCAAATGAAAGCAAGCAAAGAACAAGAAAAATGAATTACAGGTGAGAAAACACCAATAGCTGTACAAAAAGTAAAGATGTTTAAAAGGACAATGATGCTGGCTGTTGTGGTATACGCCTGTTATCCCAGCACTTGGCAGGCAGATGCAGCAGAACAGCCTAGGTCATACACTGAATCCCTATCTAAAAGCAAGCAAAGTAAAGCAATAAAAAAAAAAAAAAATCAAAGCCTAGGGATATAGCTCAGTGGGAGAGCACTGGTCTGAGATAGTGGTTCTCAACCTCCTAACGCTGTGATCCTTGTGTTGCGGTGACCCTCCACCACCATAAAATTATTTCATTGCTACTTCATAACTGTAATTTTGCTACTGTTATGAATTGTAATGCTAATATCTGTGTTTCCTGATGGTCTTAAGCAACCCTTGTGATAGGGTCATTCTACCTAGAAAGTGGTTGTGACCCAATTGTGCTGTCTCTCTCTCTCTCTCTCTCTCTCTCTCTCTCTCTCTCTCTCTCATGCACAGAGACACACACACAGTGGGGAGAAGAGATAACAGCTCTTCAGTAAAGAGCACTGGCTGTTCTTGCAGAGGACTAGGGCTCACAAGGCACACACGGGGGTTCCCAAACATTTGTAACTCCACTTCCAGGTCTAGGGCATCCAGTGCCCCGTTCTGCCTTCTGTGGGCACTAAGCAAACATATAGTGCACACATAGATACATGCAGACAAAATATGTGTATACTTAAAATAAATAAATCTTATCTTATTTAATTAAGAGATTGGAGATGGGTTGTTAGGAAGGAAAATGCTTTCGATGTTTCATCTTTATAGACTCATGACTTTTTAAAAACCCAAGAATACTAAGAAAAGATTTGAGGTTAAATTTCAACAGAGCTCAGATGTTTAATTTACTGACTATTCCCCTTTTCACACAAGTATTTGAAGATGAACTGCTGTGAAAATTGAAAGATGACGCAAAGTCGATCCCTTATAAGAAACTACCTGCAGGCATTAGATATGTAAATAGCAGGCTCAGAGGCAGAGGGAACCATGGAAACAGAAGAGGTGAACTCAGGAAGGATATTGAAAGAGCAGCCCAGACAGCAGCTTGACACGTGGGCCTCACAACTTACCTTTTGCTTTCCAGTTTTTCAAGTTCTTCACGCTGCTGTCTCTCAAATTCAAGTCTGGTGAAATCAAATGAAAATAAGTCACTTCCATGAAGGAGCTTTTCTCTCTGCACACAGATTAACACACTGGAGCACAGATTTGTCTATTGCTTTAATTATGGATTAGCAAGTTTAAAATGCATTCTTTGCTCTATCACTATGATTAGAAATTAGATATAATTTAGGTGTTTGAACTTAGACTGAAGAGAACAGATTTGATTTGAAAGAAAATAAAATATTACTGTAGTAAAAAAACAGAATTAAACACAACTTCTAAATGCTAAGCATGTCTATTCCATGCAGCTTAGTCACTGATGAGTAAGTAAGAAGAGAATCTACCTTAGACAGATGGGTCCTTTTATAGGGAAAAGACTGCCAGGGAGGTAGAGGGGAGAAAGCACAGACATCCATTAAGAAAACAATTCAACAGGAAGAAACACCAGGAGAAAAGCAGTAAGGTACTTAAAAGACAATGGTCATGCGTAGATCAAATATCACATTTCCCAGTAAGTGCATGAAACAAACGTTCCAGAAAGTTAGCTTGCTGTTTTTCACACTTCGTTGACTACCGAGCACAAATAGTTACTGTGCACAGCAAAGCCCTTCTTTTAGTGCTGTATCATAGTTATTCTACTCAGAGGCTCAGATGTGCTGAGTGACAGTGGGGTCTATGAGACTACACAAAGTCACACAGTAGTAACAAAATAATGGAAAGCAGGTCATGTAGAATTTTTAAATTCTGACAACACAAGCCAATTTCCCTGACATTAGGAAATAGGTTTCACTTTTTCAATTGAACACCATGAATTGTAAAACTCAAATATACACATTTCTCTGTTGTAGACAGCAGATACTGCTTCAAAGCTAAACTAGGGAACAACGCACCATAAACTATTTTCCTTGGACCATGTGCAGACCCAAACTGGCAACACAGATGATTTTACAATGATCGAAGATACGTTTCAAAGGGATCTCTTCTCACTTCCGTTGGGGCTAGAAGGTGTCTGGTTGTTTTTGTAAGCACAACTGTGCATCTAGGGCACAAGAACAGTCATGCTGATTGGCACAGGCTGTTCCCTTTGTCCTCTAAGAATATTAAGGCTGCAAACTGTATCTCCAAGTTACAGACAAGGAACCCAAAGCTTGGATGTCTCCAGAACTTGTTCCAGGTTACAATGGTAATATGTGGTGGAGCCAACATTTGAATCCACAACAACCTGCTTCCAAAACACCCTCTGTTGACTTATTTTGTAAGCCTTGTTCAGATTTGTGATACAAAATACAAGAACTTACCTTTCACTGAAAATTGTTTCTGTTGATATTTATGCTATGTCAAGTGAACATAATCAATCTGCAGCTTAGTATAGGCATAGGTGTCCACACAAGATCAGTCACGGAGACAGATAACTGGTAACCATGGAACCCAGTCCATATGGCTGTGCATTAAGTGGGTATGATATGATCATTCTTAGTAAATATTTTTGTGTTTCTCTCTCTCTCTCTCTCTCTCTTTCTCTCTCTCTCTCTCTCTCTCTCTCTCTCTCTCTCTCTCTCTCTCTCTCTGTGTGTGTGTGTGTGTGTGTATTTAGGAACATGTGTGCTGTAACATACAAGTAGAAGTCAGAGGATAACCTTAGGTGGGGGGTCAGGGGGTCAGTCCTCACCCCTACCTTGTTTTTTTTTTCTTTTCTTTTTTTTTTTTTTTTTTTGGTTTTTCAAGACAAGGTTTCTCTGTGTAGCTCTGTGCCTTTCCTGGATCTTGCTCTGTAGACCAGGCTGGCCTCGAACTCACAAAGATCCGCCTGCCTCTGCCTCCCAAGTGCTGGGATTAAAGGCGTGCGCCACCACCACTTGGCTGTCACCCCCACCTTGTTTAAGTCAGTCTCTCTTGTTGTTCACTGCTGTATATGTCAGGTTAGGTGGGCGCCTTGAGCTTCTGGGAATTCTGTCTCTACTTGTCTCTAATTCCCTGTAGGGACACATTGGGATGACAGACAAATGTGCTACTGTGCTGATTTTTATGTGGGTTCTTGGGATCCAAGTTCAGATTACAAGTAGCAAGTATTTTACCCATGGAACCATCTTCAGAGCCCCCTGGTAAACTTGAACATATAGCTAATTCCTTCTAGAGACATTTACATAGTCAAAGGTAAGACTGGTTAAAATGCTTTTGAGGCCAGAAATTTCCCTGAAAGAATCCCCTTAACCTTAGTTTTCATCTTCTGTGTGATACAGCTCTCTATACCTATCAGCATCCACTGCTTTGACATCAACATGTGTGGAGCAGGCTGTTCTGAGAGCTGCAGCCAGGGACTGGGGTGAAAGCCTATCTTCTAAGATGTGTTTCCAACACCCAGACATTCAGAATCTTCATGTTGTTCCCCCAATTGCAGGACATTGACACATTAATCATCCTGAGGCCACAAAGCAGGAAACTGAGGCTTAATGTATTGAGTAGCATTAGAATCCAAGTTTGGTTCCAAAACTTATTACGAGCCACAATTTTTCCTAAGGGTTGTGTGGTGACAAGGGGATCATAAAGTACAAGTGATAATATCTGATTGTACAGTCCATCTAAGCAGTAGCTTCAAATGTTAAGTGAATGCAGTGCTAGGCAATGAGGTAAACAAGCAGACATGGCACATCCTAGACATTATAGCCCCTCTCTGTTCTGCAACAGTGTGCCACACACAGGAGAAAATGTCCCAGAATATGGGAGAAGCTAGCATCAAGGCAAGTGTTTTTCTTTCTTTCGTATGATATAGAACTTAAGAAAATCTCACTAAAACCAGATTTTAGCTTCCCACAGGTGACATGGGAAGGCATGGGTTTCAGGAGGGTATCAGGAACCACATTCCAAGAAGCCTTTGAAGTTCACTAAAGACTTCAAATTTGAGGAATACACCTGCCTGGGGTTTTGAAGACTAGCTGAGAAGGAGGTGAACTAATATGCCAGGAGACAAATAAAGACGGTAAAGGGAAGTATGGTTGCTGTTCTCTGCCCGGCTGCTTCTCTCTGAAGGCAGAAGCAAGACCCCCATGCCAAGAGCAAGGAGAATAAGAAGCATACATTTCAGGGATATTACTTGGAAGAGGAGAAAAGGCCAGTGGGCAAGGGAATTGTACATGGTGGTACATGCGTACCATCCTAGCAATAGAGAGGCTGAGGCAAGAGAAGCCAGACTGGGCTATTAGAGGTAGACCCTGTCTCTAAACCAAAACAAAAATCAAATAAATAGTAGAAGAGAACTGATAAAGAAAGTGAGGGGGAAAGACTCACTGGCATCACTCAAGATTTGAGATTGTTGATTTCAGAGGCCCAATCTTCAGGCTGATATATTGTTTGTTTATTAGTAGTATATTCAACAGATTCCCGAGTAAACGCAGGAAATGGCTGGTAAGAGCACAAAAAAGAGCTCAACTGAAGACATGGGAAGACAAAAATTCAAGTATTAGTCTAAGGACTGAATTAGCTACTGAACAAGAAAAGAAATGAAGTCAAAATGGAGCCTACAAGATAAAGGAGAAAATCAGAGCAGTCTCTATGCTGACAAAGTGGGTGCCAGCCAATAGGACAGCATGGTAAGTTGTTCACCTGAGTCACTCAAGATAACAGTAGGGCTTAGACAGATGCCGAGACTTCAGAAGAGTCTGTGGAAGGGCAGATGAGAACAGGAAGGAGAGGTGATGAGTGGCAGTGGGTAAGTGCGTGAGTTGAGTGGATGAGAAGTGCCTCACTAGGCAGAGGACTTGTGATCTTCAAGCAGCTGGGCGGAGGATAAAAGGGTCTGTGGGCTCACGGAATCAGTGCTTCTTCCACAGCAGACATCTTCAGCTTAGAACAGTTGAGTAAGATTAAGAAGGGGAGACACTTGATCGACAGCAGCTATCAACCTCTGATGTTTGAGGCCACAGCTTTTGGTCCTTCAGAAGGGCAGCATCTATTGATTAGGAAGATCCCCATTTTAGTTCTGAACTTTTCTATGACTTGTTTCTACATCTTAGCCATTTTCTATTCAAAGAAGAGGTGTGCTTTGGTAGATAATAATTCCCTTTTCTAGAAAAGACTAAAATTTAAAAAAAATCAACAAAAAAACCTACTTGGTGCTAGCTCTTAACTGAAGTAAGGTCATCAACAACATGAGAAGAGCATCATGATTCAGGGATCCTACTTTAAACATTAGGGGACAGGAACTGTTGCTGATAGCATTTAACTTCTGTTAGATATTACATACTTACTGATCATACTTTAAAATGCATTTCCTTCCACAATCCGTAATTATTTCAGTTAGCATACCACAATAGACTGTAAAATACAAGTGTGAGCCTGTCAGTATCTAGACAGTGTATCAAGTATAATTGTATGTAAATGTGGCTACATTTTTAAGCAAGTACAATTCACTATCTTACATTACTGGGATTATTGTGGCCCCAAATGCTAATTTCCTAAATGTTATAATTAAAAAGAAAACTATAAAAGGATGTAATTTTTGCAGCTGTTTTTAACATTTGAAAATGACATTTGGAGGTACACATACTGTGTTAGGTCCAACAAAAAGCACAGCGTACCATCTATTTTTACCAGGAATAAACTTTTCTCTTCATTAAAAGACAGCTAGCATTTTTAGGTATAACTGCACATCTTGCGATTTACATTCCTGTTATCATCAGCAATAGAAAATGAGAGGGTTGGAGTTTCTGAGTTCACACCATTACTTTGAAAGTGAGACTGTGATTATTTTTAAAAGAGAGAGAAGAAAATGAAGAAAAATTTAAATAAGCATAAACCATAAATATTTGTAGCCTTATGCTGTAGTAATACTGATTAGTTTGGTACCTCTAAAGTCAGGTCTAAAAGCAGGAAGAGACGGTTACCCATGTCCAGCCAGGACTTTCACTGGCAACTAGAGTGCTACAGACAAGGGGTGGGAGAGACTGAACTCCAGACTGCAGCACATCTGGAGTGGTACAGACAAGGGGTGGGAGAGACTGAACTCCAGACTGCAGCACATCTAGAGGGAGTTCCCATTTGGCAACAGAGGTGACCTGAGACAGACATACTGGTAAAGTCTCCTGCCTGGATGTCTGATTCTATTGTCTGAACAGGTATATGGTTAGGAATCAGGAAAAAATTATTCATCATTGGATAGACTTGGATTTTCTATTAGCAACTTTGGGTTGTAGTTATGTAGATCTACCAAACTGATGTGCAACTCTTAAAGCTACATATGGCCTGCTTGGAATTCTTATTATATTAGAATAAGAGACCCTACACTTTCATAGTGTATTGGGCCTTATAAAGTACTGTCTCTGGTCACAGATACCTGCTGAACAAGCCCTGGCCAGTGCCTAGATACTTCAGTGCAAATCCT